GGGGGGGGGGGGGGGGGGGGCGTGCAGGAGGCAGTTGATCAATGACTCTCATCACTTAGGTTTCTTTCTCTCCCTCTCCCTCAATCTGAAATCAATAAAAATATATTTAAAAAAAAAAAAATCATTGCTATTGCCCTAGCTGGTTTTGCTAGGTAGGTAGAGGGTAGGCCTGCAGGCTGAAGGGTCCCAGGTTCAATTCTGACCAAGGGCGTGTACCTCTGTTGCAGGATTGATCCCCAGCCCCAGTCAAGGCACATTAGGGAGGCAACCAATCAACACATCTCTCTCACTGATATTTCTCTCTCTCCCCCTTCCACTGACTCTGAAAAAGCAATGGGAAAAATATCCTCAGGTGAGGATTTAAAAAAAAAAAAATCATTGGCAGGTGTTGCTCAGTGGGTTGGACATCATCCTGTGCAGCAGTAGGTTGCAGGTTCAATTCCTGGTCAAGGCACATGCCAGTTTCAGGCTCGAACCCCAGTAGGGGGCTTGCAGGAGGCAGCTGATTGATGCTGGGCTCTTATATCAATGTTTCTATCTCTTCCCCTCTTCCTTCCTCTCTCTCTAAAAATCAATAAACTATTCTTTAAGGAAAAAAATCATTGATATAGGTTGAATGTTTGTCCCCCATCCTCCCCTCCCCCAATTCATATGCTGAAAACCTAATGCCCAAGGTAACAGTAGTAGGCAGGGCCTTTGGGGGAATGTAGTGCCCCCAGAAATGGGACTAGTGTTTGAGAGGCCCAAGAGCTATCCCTCATCCCTTCCACCATGTGAGGACACAACAAGATGTCAGCAGTCTGCTACCCAGAAGAGGGCCTTCACCAAAGCTCAGCCGTGCTGGCACCCTAACCATGGACCTCCAGTCTCCAGAACTGTAAGAAATAAATTGCTGTTGTTTATAAGCCACCTACCTGGTCTGTAGCATTTTGTTATAGCAGCCCAAGCTAAAGCAACCATGTTTGCCCTTCTGGAAATAATCATGACCTGAGTCAGACCTGGACTCACCCACTGACATGGCACCCTCCCTCCTGGCCCTCAGTTTCCCCACCACTACAGGAGGGAGAGAACCACATGATTTCCAAAGGACGCCCTGGTTCCTCTGACATCCTCTGGATTCAATGCCTCTACTTTGTGACTTCAAAAAAAGCTGCAACATTGGCCAAAGTTGGAAGGTGGATGGGTAGAAATGGCCCCTCCCACTCAGGAGGCGCACACCTGTGGGCTGCACCTCTGAAGGGGGCAGGCAGTGTGGGAAGTGAGGGAGGGAGCCTGGGGCAATCAAGCAGTGATGAAGCTATGGGCAGAAACAGGAGATGGAAGTCAAGACACCTGGTTGTCATTGTCACCCCACCACTTAACTACAGACCTAAGCTAGTCCCTTAATCTGAGCCTTCATTTCCCCCTTGGTCCATGGGCAAGCAAGCAATGTGAGTTGGAGCAAGCAAAGTCTGCTGAATTGGAGTTTGAACCCTGAGGAGCTAGTGGAACAGGAAGCCAAAGTCTGGACTCTGAGATGATGTCACCCTTATGAGGGGAGGGGCCAGTGAGGGGAGCCCCTCCTACCCAACTCCCACCCAACTCCCAACCCTGCTCCTCCCCAACCAGCAGAGTAAAAGGTGCTGGTACCTCTAAACCCAACTCCCCACCACCTTTTGCTATCAGACTGAAGCAAGAAATCCAGACTAGACAAGAGCTATCATGTTAAAATTTTATGTGAAATCCTGTAAATGTATAGAGTGGCCTGAGGTCGCCTGCCCACAAGGCCTGGCTGTGGGGGTCCTCACTCAGCACTTGATGTAGATGGCTGCACTGCCCCGCTCCTCAAACTCTTCCTTGCTGACCCAGAGCTGCTGGAAGGCCTGCAGCGATGCCAGGATGGAGCCGCCGGTCCACACCGAGGTCTTCCTTTCCGGCGCGGCACACACTGTGGGGTTGTCCCCAGGGCAGAGGAGGCTCAGCTCCCTCTGGAAGCGCTCGGGGAAGCCATCCAGCATGGTGCAGCCACCACACAACAGCACGTTGGCGGCCATCTCCTCCTTGAAGCCTGCCTCCTGACAGTGGCCCAGGCAGGAGGCCGTGAGCGCAGGGAGGCCAGGGTGGTTGCTGCCCACCAGGGTGGGCTTGAAGAGCATCTCGGCGCACTGGAAGCGCTCGTGGCCGATGGTGATGAGCTTGCCATCGGGGAGCTCGTAGTCCACGCGCAGCTCCTCCAGGCCCAGGCAGGCCTCCTTCTCGGGCAGCAAAGCCGAGTAGCAGCACGTCTTCTTGATGTGCTCCACGATGTGCAGGTGGTCGTCAGTGAACTTCTGGCCGGCCTCATTGAGCAGCTGCAGCAGGTAGTTGGTGAGGTCGCTCCCGGCGTAGTCGGCGCGGCCCGTCAGGCCTGGCAGCAAGTTGCCCTCCGAGATGGGGACCACGTGCGAGACGCCGTGCCCGCTCTCCACCACCAGCCCTGTGGTCTTGCCATAGGAGTAGATGGACAGCAGCGACTGGGACGTCACGTGCATGGCGGGGATGCCGAAGGTCTCGAACATGAGCTCCGCGTACTTCTCCCGGTTGCTGCTGGGGCTGAGCGGGGAGTCGGAGACCAGCACGGCGTACTCCTGGGGGAGGATCCTCATGGCCGTGTGGAAGATGTACTCCCAGATGCTCTGGACGCAGTCCCAGTCCACCACAACGCCGTACTTCAGAGGGTTAACCAGCTTCAGGGGGCTCTGCATGTCGAGCAGCTCGTGGCCCACGTAGGTCTCCTTTCGGGCATCGCCCACGTCAGCCACCTCGGAGCTGAACTTGCCCACCGTGGAGGAGATGAAGTAGGTGGGCCGGGGCTCTCCTGCATAGCCGCACTTACAGTACTGCGAGCCCAGGTCGATGATGAGGGCCTTGATCCTGCGCACATTCTTGGGCTTCATCTTCAGCTGAGTGGCTGAGCTTGTGTCCCGAATGCCAGCACCAGGAGCTGAGCGCGTTCCTGCCTCTCCAGGGTCACCCCGAGCCGTGCCCATGGGCATGGGGTTCTGGCTGTTCCTCGTCGCCATCTGCCTTCCTTGCTCGCCTTCCTCACATCCACATCCTAGAGCTCAGTGGAGAGAAATGAGGGTCCACCTCCAACATTGCCTTGGCAACCACTCAGGATTGTGATGTCACCGGGGGCTGGTCCATTCCAGCAACGAGGGGAGGGCTTGGCTTTAGTGCCCGTGATCTATCACCTGCACCCCCATCCACCTAACTTGACTTTGCTCAGGACAGAGCAGGTGGCCAGCAGTTTTAGAAACCCAAGCACACTGGGGTCTCGGAGGCTCCTGCCCCTTACACCCTTCTCCTGACCCCCTGCTCACTAACGGCACACCTTTTCCTTCTCTGCTTCTTGGGTGCAAGGGCGATGCATATTTGAGTCCTTACAGTAAGCCAGGCACTGTACCAGGCACCTCACAGATTACTTCGCAGAATCCCGTGAGCTAGGCAGAGCTGGGGAAATCGAGGCTCAGAATTCCAATGACTTGCCCATGAGCAGAAAACTCTTGTAGTGTTTGTACTTTAACCCAAGTTCATCTGACTCCAATGTACCAGATCTCCTAAAGAGTGGGAGAGCCCCAACAGTACTTTCATTCTTTCAGCATTAACTGGGGTTTGTGGTGGGTCCAGCCCATCTGGTGATAGATAGGAGCCCGGCCACAACCAGTGCCCAGTGTAGGTGGGAAGAAGATGGAATGGATGCAGAGTTTGCAGGTGAAAGTCCATTGGGGGAGCAGAGGTGCACAAAGGAGGGAGCACTCATTGGAGGGAGTCAGGGGGTTCCCAGAGAGGTGATGCTTAAGTCAAGTACTGAAAGATACGTGAGTACCTGGCAGGTAGTTAAGAGGATGGAAAGGCATGCCCAGCAAAGAGCACAGCCTGAGCAAAAACTCAGAGGGGGGCATGGTGGGGAACTGCCTGTTGTTAAGGTGTTTAGAAAAGTGGATAAAACTAGAGAGATCATGGAGCCAACCAGAGAAAGCAGAGAAGGGACACAAAGGGTGACATGAAAGCTTGATACTTTCCTAACTGAAAAATTATCTCAATTAAGAAAGTGTATCAAGCATGTGATATCCTGAGAGGTGAAGTAAAAGGAGTGAAAGGCGTCCACTGGCTTGAGCCCAAAGGTTGGCCCCTAAGAGCCCCTGTGCTCATGGACCTGACAAACTAAGTGGAGTGACTGGCCTTATGCCAGCACGGCACCTCTCCCACCCGTGACGGCGCAAAGGGTGAAGGGTGGGCGAGCATGGGCAGTGGGGGAGGAGCGTGTGAAACAGCACGTTAGGCTTTGAGCGTCTGAGTGAAGTGGGATGCACAGGTTGAGTGACTGGGTGAATAATGCCCCCCCCCAAATGTCAACATCTTAATCCCTGGAACCTGTGACTATGTTACCTTTCATGGCAAAGGAGACTTTGCAGATGAGAGTTAAGGAGCTTGAGATGGGGAGGTTAACTACCCTGGATTACCCAGGTGGGCTCAAAGGAATCACAAGGATCTTAATAAGAGGGAGACAGGAGGGTCAGGTCAGAGAAGATATAACAAAAAAGCAGAAGTCTGAGAGGTCTTTGAAGATGAAGGAAAGGGCCACCAGCCAAGGAATGTAGGCAGCCTCAAGGACCGGGAATAGGCAAGGAAATAAATTAGCCCCTAGAGCCTCCAGGAAAAACAGGACTCTGCCAACACCTTGATTTTAGCCCACTAAAACTAACTGGATTTCTGACCTTCACCTCAGAATTATAAGATAATACATTTATGTTTTAAGCCATTAAGTTTATGGTAATCTGTTACAGCAGCAATAGGAAACTAATACAAGCCCCTCCAGAAACCCAGGGCAGTGAAAATGTACTAAGCAGCTACAGATTTCTCAAAATTCAAGAGGGGGGTTGAGAAGGAAAATAGATAATTCTAAATTAAGTATGCTTTATCATGTAAGATCTTTTCAAATAAAGTCAAGCAATCCAAATTGGCCATGGAAATCCCTGAATAGCAAAGGCAAGTAAACTATTTTTCAGGCATACAGAAAAGCACTTTCCTATTCTTTCAAAATTCTATGCTATCTTATCCTCTATCTACCCAATGAACCAAGAAGCTGAGATTTTGTTTCTGAGATGACAGCCTGGCCGCCCCCATCAGAGAGTCACAAGGCTCATGAGACTGGACTCGGTCCCTCTCTTCTCTCACAGCACACAATGAGCTAGGCACACCCCCAGTAACCTCCTTAAGGGGTAAGCCCACCATTACGGTGACTGCCTCTTTTATGAAGAGCACGCGGCTGCACAACATAAGGTTGGATTCTGGCTGCCTTGAGGGTGGCAGGGGTCAGGACCAACATGCCCAGCTTCAGAGTTGGCACGAGACAGTGGCTGAGCAGCCTCAGACACCTGTGTCGGGTCTCATCAAGGTGTGTCCACAGCACACCCCTAGGAAGAAGTCATAGTCAGGAAAGCTTGGCTACTACTAGCCAGACCATCCTTGGATGAGTTATGCACCTAAGAGTCTCAGTGTTCTCATCAGTGGGACTCCATAGGGTCTAATTTCATTGCTGACCCAATGACCCAGATGAAAGATAAATATGTGTACAAATATGTTCCCAAAAATAATTCCTCTGCAGATTGTCCTAAGGAACAAATGAGACATAAGTTCTTGGTACAATCACCACAACAGCAATTATTCCTGCTAAAATCTAAATGAGATGGCATCAACTCCCTGCTCAAAATTCTCTAGGGCTTTCTGACCTCAAGCGGAGTCAGAGTGAATGTCCTAGCAATGGCCCGTGAGGCCCAGTGTGAGCTGCTTGCCCTCCCTGTCCCCTTAGTTCCCTCATTTCATGTACTTTTCCTCACTCCCTCCACTCCAGTCACACTCATCTTCTTGGGATCCTCTAAGTTGGGGGGATGGCAAGCTTTATCTGTAAAAGGCCAGATAGTCAATATTTACTTTCAACTTTGCAAGCCATACAAGTCTTTGCTGCAATGATTCAACAAACGCAGCCATAGACAGTGGCTGTGTTCCAATAAAGTTTTATTTACAAAAACAGGCTGCAGACCATTGTTTGCAGACCCTGTTCTTACTCATCAGACTCATGTCTGCTTCCAGCCCTCTACCTCTGTTGCTCAGATATACACGTGGCACTCCCTCACCTCCTTCAGGTCTTCACTCAGTGTCACCATCTCAGGGAGCCCTGCCCAGGCACATTACATGGCCACCCTCCCCATACCCCTGCTGTTTCTCTCTTTTGCCCTTAACATCTTCATTATATATATATGTGTGTGTGTGTGTGTGTGTATATATATTCCCTCTAAAATGCATACACACTTTGAATAATTATAATTATTAATTCCAATTTTTTTTTCATATTTAAACAATTGGAATTAATAATTAGTCAAAGTGTGTATAAATTTTTTGGGTCACCGTGTGTGTGTGTGTGTGTGTGTGTGTGTGTGTGTGTGTGTAATTTCGTTATTGTCTGTGTCTCCAAAAGGGCAGAGAATTTTCTTTTTCTTACTTCTGCCTTGTATTCCTAGCTGCCTGAACAAGTGCAAGCACTCAATAAATACTGACTGGATGAATCAGGTTTATTACAAAATTCAGAAAAAGGTAAATCACCACTAAACACTACTCAAATCAACCCTAACATGGGACAAAGTTTCCCAGTGGCTAGAAAGCCCCAGGTCACTGGATTATGTCATAATCAGTGATGTCATCAGTGGGGAAATTCTCAAGTTGCCCTGATTTAAGCCTTTCAGCCTTGAAGCTGGTGGGATCAAGGAACTGAGAGTGAGATGGCTCTTCATAGCATGTGGGCTCCACAGACAGCAGTCATAGGGGATGGGCCTGCCAAGAGAAAGGACGAACAGGCCTCCCTGAATGCACAGGGCCTCCAGACTGCCTCCTTAAAGAGTGGTCCAGCAAAGCGCGCAGTGTGGGTCCGCCATAACTGTTCGGAGCCAGAAGAGCCTACTAAATCAGCAGAAGCCAAGGAGAGGCCCGAAGTAAAGGTGACCAAAGCGGTGGTCGTGGACCTTGGCACTGGCTACTGTAAATGTGGCTTTGCAGGGCTTCCAAAGCCCTCCTACAAGATCTCATCGACAGTGGGCAAGCCCTACATGGGGACCACCAAAACTGGGGACAGCCGCAAAGAGACATATGTGGGGCAGGAGCTTGTCAATCCAGAGGTTCGCCTCAAGCTAGTTAATCCTCTGCGGCACGGCATCATCGTGGACTGGGACTCAGTGCAGGGTATCTGGGAATATCTCTTCCAAAAAGAGATGAAGATCTCCCCAGAAGAGCACGCGGTCTTGGTTTCAGACCCGCCACTGAGCCCGCACACCAACAGAGAGAAGTATGCCGAAATGCTGTTTGAGACCTTCGGCACTCCTGCGATGCACATCGCCTACCAGTCCCGCCTCTCCATGTACTCCTATGGAAGGACCTCTGGCCTGGTCGTGGAGGTAGGCCACGGCGTGTCCTACGTAGTCCCCATCTATGAAGGCTACCCTTTGCCTAGCATCACGGGACGGCTGGACTATGCGGGCTCTGATCTGACAAACTACTTGATGGGCCTGCTGAACAGTTCGGGAAAACACTTCACTGAGGACCAGATGGGCATTGTGGAAGACATCAAGAAGAAATGCTGCTTTGTGGCCCTGGACCCCATCGAAGAAAAGAAAGTCCCAGATACTGAGCATATGATCCAGTATATTCTGCCGGACGGGCAGCAGATACACCTGGGCCAGGAAAGGTTCCTCTGCTCAGAGATATTCTTCAAGCCTTCTCTGATCAAGTCCATGCAGCTGGGCCTCCACACCCAGACAGTGTCCTGCCTTAACAAGTGTGACATCGCCCTCAAACGGGACCTGATGGGGAGTATCTTGCTCTGCGGGGGGAGCACTATGCTCAGCGGTTTCCCTAACCGCCTGCAGAGGGAGCTGAGCAGCTTGTGTCCCAATGACACTCCCCAGGTAAACGTGTTGCCTGAAAGAGAAACTGCAGTGTGGACAGGAGGGTCCATCCTGGCATCGCTTCAGGGCTTCCAACCACTGTGGGTCCACCGCTTTGAGTATGAGGAACATGGGCCTTTCTTCCTCTACAGAAGGTGCTTCTGAACTCGGACAAAGCATGGTCCCTGTGGCTGCCATGTGTCAGCCTTGCCGGGTGAGCACCCACCCCACACATAGGGAGCTGAGCCAGCACGTTCACTCCAGCAGTATTAAACAATCTGTTCCCCTCCACAATGCGTTTCTCTCTTTCCTGGCTTAGTGAGAACTTCATACCTGCAGCTCTGCCTTAAAATATACATCTGCCAACACAAAGGTGGAGGTGAGGGGCGGACGACGGAAGAAAGAGGCATGAATCTCATAACTGCTTAAACATCCTTGGGAGAAACTAGCTCTAAAATGATGCTCTCTTATATTGTTTCCCACTTTAGAACTAGTATATTGTTAAGATTGGCTTGGAAAGGGGAGTGTGATGACAGATTGATTATATGCTGTTGTGACATATAAGAAGACCCCCCTTTTTAAAAAAAAAAAATATCTTTATTGATTTCAGAGGGAGGAAGTGAGAGGGAGAGAGAGATATAGAAACATCAATGATGAGAGTTGTCATTGATTGGCTGCCTCCTGCAAGACCCCGACTGGGGGTGGAGCCCGCAACCCAGTATGTGCCCTAACTGGGAATCGAACCTCAATCTCCTGCATCCTAGGTTGATGCTCAACCGCTGAGCCATGCCTGGCCAGGTGACCCCCCTTTTTATTGTTAACAGTATTACAGATGTCCCCATTTCCATCCCCTTTTGCCCCCTTTCACCCAGCCCCCTCCCCACCCTACTATTGTCTTCACCACACTATTGCCTGTGTCCATGGGCTATGCATATATGCATATAAGTTCAAGAAGATCCCTTTTGATGAACACCAATAGGAAATATGCTGTCAAGGTTCAATCACCCACAAAGCACCTGAATACCAGTGTCTGGTCTCCAGGAGGGGATCACAAGAGGGGTTAGCATCATCTTGCAGACTTCTATCTCTTACACAGGAGCCCAAAAGTCTTATATGGTCTTGAGTCTCCTGTACCCCACCAACCCCCACAAAGGCACACATTCAAGCACTCATAGGAGAGCTATGGCATCTCTACCATCCCCAGGCAGAAGCCCTAAAGAACCACCCTGAGAGCCTCAAGGTTGCCTAGACAGCCCTGAAAGATCAACACGGCAGACCCTGGGTCCAGGCTTGGTGAGTAAGCACAGCTGGCTGGCACTAGCAAGCTGGAGTAGGGATGCAAAAATAGCCACAGACCGGCATCTGGAGTTCCTACAGTTCAACAAGGATGACTAGGCTTTACCTTGGGGTACTAGGGGATCAGCTAGGAGTTGGGTACACTGACATGAGAAAGAGGTATGTACTGCTCATCTCATTTTCTGCCCAATCCACTCAAGGGTCAACACTCCATGAACATTCACTGATGGGTGGACTGAATTAGGTTAATTCTTAACCTTTGGACTTCTTTGGCTGGGTAATAAAACCTATGTACTCTCCTCTAAATATTTTTAAATGCACAAAATAAAGTAGGACTACAGAGGAAAACAATCACATAGAAATATACTATCTTCAGATCCCTTAAAGGTCTCTGAACAAAAGATCCCCCCGCCCCAATGAGGGTCCTGATGAAGGGGAGGCATGAGAGGTGGCTCTGGAGGCTGGGAATCTCCAGGCCATCCTAGATCTAAACACTATGCTGTATTTTAAAATACAAAATACTAACATAAGGCTAACCAACTGTGTAGTCTTCTCAAAGCCCTTTTAGGCATTCTCTCACTTGATCCTACTCAATCACCCTTGTAGAGAAAAAGCTTCCTCCTCACAAAGTGAATACTGCTAGTAAGTATTTGGAAGTCATCTTAGCCCAGTGGTTCTCAAATGGGGGCCATAAGCAATGTCTGAAGATATTTTTGGCTGCCACAACAGGAGTGGAGGGTATGCGATACTGGCATCTAAATGTGGTTAAACACCCTACATTGCACAGGACAGCCCCCTACAACAAAGAATGACATGTCCCAATGTGTCGAAAGTATCAAGGTTGCCCTTACCAGGCGGCTCAGTTGGTTGGAGTCTCATACACCCCAAACAAAAAAAGTTGTGGGTTCAACTCCAAATCAGAGCACATACCTAGGTTGCAGGTTTGAACCTCGGTCAGGGCACAGATGGGAGGCAACTGATCAATGTTTCTCTCTCACATCTTCCCCCTGACCCAAAATCAAGAAACATAGCCTGGGGTGAGGATTTAAAAAAAAAAAAAGTGCCAAGGCTGAGAAACCCAATGGGCACACAAGGTTGTAGGAAAGCAAGATTCAGTAGGATTAAATGACTTTGTCCAAGGACACTAAAATAGATGGACCCATGGCCTTGTTTTTTTCCTGCATGCCAGGAGGACATCTTAAAATTGTTCTGGAACTTGAAGTTCCTGGGACTTCACTGCCAGCAAGAGCAGTGATGAAGTGGCCAACCATGAGGCACAGCATGCGCATGGGGAGCAGAGGGAAAGCAGGAATCGGAGGTCTTCAGCGCTGCCACGCGTCACAGGATTAGCTTCGGCTGGTCTACAGCGTCCTGGATATTCATGGGTACCTAGCTCCTAAGATGCTCAAGCTCACCCGATACTAATAAACATGATACACAAGGAAGGACAACCAAAGACCCCCAAGGGCTTGTCCAGGTAGTGCTTCCAGTGAAGCACAGAGGTTTATGGGCCAGCACAGCCTGGGGAGGGCAGGGGGCTAATACTGCTTCCCAAACTTGTAGTTACCTCAAATTACTAAAAAATCGCCAGTTTTATTTTTAAAAAAACTTTCTTCAATTATGGCCATTAAAACTCCCTCAAATGTGTACATATGTACACCCATACACACAAAGAAATATATGTATGTATATGTATAATATGGAAAATGTTTTAAAATATGCCAAGCTATATTCACAAAGACATAACAAAAACCTTAGCTCCTGCCTTAGTTTTCTTTTCAAGAAGTGTAAATTTAAAATGCACTTTGATTCTAGGAGATAGTCCTCTGCAAGTTGCCTCTTGATATCTGGAGCATCTAAGAACAAAGCTGACTCAACAAAATCAATAAAATAATGAAGGCTTTTTTAGCTCACTGCAGCATGAACTTGCTTTGGGACACAGTCCAAATTGGGGGGAAGAGTTATGCACTCTTTTCTAAAAGTTGACAGACCCTTTCCCCAAAATGAAGCATGCATCACTCCCAGGAGCCTCTCCTTTGCCCATGTGCTGCATTTCCCCCCATGAGTTCGTCCTTGGCTTTGCCTTCAATTTGGAAGGTCTGCTCCTGCCTGCTGCTTCTCCAAATGAATAAAACCCCATCTGATGAGAGAGTAATTGATAGTAATCTGAATCGGAAGAATTCACACAAATTCTTTCTTGTTGCTTCAATGCATTAAGAAAATTGATCATCCGTGAAGTCACACTATTAATCAACAGACACATTTACTTGTATTTTCAATCCAGGAGCAAGTCCCTTTACACTCATCCACAGCACGAGCGCTGTAGCTGGTTAAAATGTCCTGTCGTTACCATGCTCGTGTACCCATGTTGAAGAGGAGTAACCGAGCACTTTCGGCCTTTCAGGGTTGGGAACTTTATTACAGCAAATCTGTACGGGTCTGAGTCGCACAGCCAATCTCTCCAAAGCAGGAGATATGTGTCTTTACATCTTCGTACCTCTTTTATTTTGTGAAAATTTTCAGACACACAGAAAAGTTGACTTATACAGTGAACACACCTAGATTCTACAGCTAACATTTTACTATATTAAGAAAAGTCTTAAGTTACAATTCTGGATTAATGTATCCTCTGAGAATCAAAAGTAGCATTTCCAGTTAGTTTATATATAGTAGTGAAGATCTGGTTCTGGTATTAAAGGCATGGAAGAAATGTTTAACCTCACCTAAGAATCAGCCTCAAAACTAGTGTCAAAATAAATGAGCTTTTTCTAGACTGACCAAAAAAAGAAAACATTCTCATTTCTTTCAAAGAAAATAACTAAAAGATAGAGGTCAGTTAAATACCATACAGAAAAATAAAGGAAATGATCTAGACACTGACAAAAACAGTATGTTAAAAGCAGCAGTGTTCGGAGAAGAGGGAGTAACTTATGACAGTGCATGGCATCTGATGAACACTGCTCACCACAACAAACGTGCATGATGCATTTCAGAAATTCTCACCTGTTCTGCTAACTCTCGAGCAAAAATTCACAGGCAGTGAAAATAGTCCCTGTGGACATTGTAGTGATAGGAGGCTCAACCCAGTTATAACTGGAAGCACATGACCAGGTATGATATTACAAAATAACAGCTGTTAGCATGGAAAAGCTGACTAAATGTAGGTAGAACTAATAGCCATGTTGTTTATGTACAATGCTCTCCCCAGGAACATAAAGCAATTTAAAATGTTTGAGGTAGAAGCCATGGAACATTATTCCCAATGTGCTGAGGCACAAATTAACTATGTAACTTATAAAAGGTCCCAATATGAATTAGATCTGTAACTGGGAATGAAACTCCATCTCCTGACTACCAGAAATACCAGAAATATGCTCTCAAATAGCACTAAATAAAAGATCAGTAAATCTTACAAAATGATGCTACACTGATGAAAGATTAAAGTTTTGCTAATTAAAACTCTATGCAAAATAAAAGAGAATTGCTTGGTGTCAACAGAGGTCTGCTGCACAGAGCAGTTCTGGCCAATGCTAAGGTAGATCACTGTCTTACTCTTCCTGGTTCTCGGCAGCCAGGTCTCAAGGAGTCAGGGGTAAAGAAAATGGTCTTCTCTGCCGAGCCCTCCTAACAGGGATCCGTCACTCTAACAGGCTCAGTTTCCACTGGGTTCTTTTGTTGATCATCGGCGGTATCAAAAATTCAGCATCTAATAAAAAGAAGAGACTGTGATAGACACACACTTTCTTGGTGGTGGGAGCTGAGGCAGTAACTCTAATCTAAAACTAGGCTACTGGGCTCTGCACCAACAAGACGACCATAAAAAGCAGAGTTAATGTTTCTGTTACCTTATAACCCCCACTCAGAGCAAATGCTGCAGGGAGGCCCAGGCCAGGAAGAGGAAATTCATTATAACTCCAGGCACATGGGAGAGTAGCAGAAAAATGCCCACCAAGTGATTCAAAGGGAAAGAATGTCTTATACTTCAAATGGGTTGTGGTAGTTACAAGGCCATATTATATTAAATCCCATCAAACTATGTACACCTAAAATCTGTACATTTTACTAAAATCCTGCATTTTTGCAAGACTTGTAGTCAATCTACATGATGTTACACTGCATTGTAAACATGAAACAATTAGAGAAAATGCCCCATCAGTCACTGGTCCCACGCATTGGACGTAAGAGTG